CTTGATTTTGATGACTAGTATGCATTTAAACTAAGCTTGACAGTATAAATTTCGTAAATAATGCATCTAACATTTGCTCCCCTATCATGGGTTACATGTTGGCTCTATGTCAGATACCATGCTGGGTCCCTGCCCCGCTCAGAACCTGGCCTGGATCAAAAGCCTCAAGATGGGGTGATGGCTGGGGGTGGTCCAGTCTCAAGCTGCCCTGGGAAGTGGAGACTTGGCTAACTTGCCCCCTGTCCCGAGAGATCCCGGAGAGTTCTCATCTTTTGCATAATAAATGGATGAGAGGTAGAATGGAAAGGATGAGGTAGAATGGATGAGAAGGAAAGGGCATGGAAAGGGCAGCAATAAACTTGGGACACTCAGGTTCGGGATTGCATCTTATGGGTCAAAACCTTTAAATACCTGGGGAGAAGTTGGCAGTGGGTGTGACTCCAAGTCCAGATGTTGGAGCATTGAGGTTACCAGCACAGGTCAGGGTTCCTACCTCCCCTGCCTACTAGCAATGTGACTCTGGGTGAGTGACTTAGCCTCCTGAGCCTCAGCTTCCTCACCTGTATAAAGGGAATCGTATTGGTGCATACTTTATACAAGCTTGCTCTGAGGACTAAGGAAGGTAATCCACATCGAGTGCTGACATGTGGGAAATCTAGTAAATATTGACCATGGCTACAGTGACAACAGTGTATAACCTTTAAAACATACTTTCAAGGGAAGATAAATTGGGTCATCTGGGAGTTCAGTATTTGAATGTTAAGCCACATAGAAATGCATCCAGAAACATGAGTATTCTTGAAAATCGAAGTTCTGCATTAGTCATGCATAAGTAAAATATTACTGAAGTGAGGTGTGCTAGAAAAATCATCCTTATTGAAGTAGTGCTTGAGGACTTTGTCTCTTCTGCATTATAAATTATGTCTAGGGCTTCCCTGGTGGTGCAGCGGTTAAGAATCCGCCTGCTAATGCAGGGGACACGGGTTTGAGCCCTGGTCCGGGAAGATCCCACATGCCACGGAGCCTAAGCCCATGTGCCACAACTACTGAGCCTGCGCTCTAGAGCCCGTGAGCCACAACTACTGAGCCCACGTGCCACAGCTACTGAAGCCTGTGTGCCTAGAGCCCGTGCTCTGCAACAAGAGAAGACACGGCAATGAGAAGCCCACGCACCGCAACAAAGAGTAGCCCCTGCTCGCCACAACTAGGGAAAGCCTGCACACAGCAACGAAGACCCAGTGCAGCCAAAAATAAATAAATAACATAAATAAATTTTAAAAAACTATGTCTAAAGGTCTTCATGAATTATCTTATTTCATTGATTCCAAGGGGCACACTTGCCACACTTGAGCATCTCTAAATCAGGACATGTCTTTTTTTTTTTTTTTCAGGATATGTCTTATAATCAATAGTGTGTCCTATTTAGTTTGTTTAGTAGTTTGTTTTCTTTCTTAGTAGTACCTAAAATAATACAACTTAAACTTGATGACATCTAAGATTTAATAAAATATGTCCATTTCTTTGTTCATGTTTGGGCTGGGAAGGCTTTGGCTCAGTTTTTGTAGTTATTTATTTCCCAGTCACTGGAAACACCAGTGTTCTCAAGAACATCATACATCAATATTTAACTGCAAATTTGTTTCCCAACCTCAGATAGTTTTCCATAATCTAATCCATTTGGGGAGAAAACGTAAAAATCAGTATTTCAGACAGTATTTTATATATTAAAAATCAGTATCTCTGACTATTTATATATTAACATCATAAAACAAAAAACACTATGTATTAATACTTCTATGTGTGTGGGGGGACACTTTAAATTATTAAACCCAGGTTATTCTGTTGTAATACTAGGCTGGTGGGTCTTCAAATACTACTCTCATGTCAGTTGTTCATATAACAGTGTACACACACACACAGAGAACATATATATGTAACTTCACTATAATAAAAGAGACTTTGGTTCATTTAACCATTTCCACTCATTAAGTCTCTTAAGGGGTTTCAATTCAGGCTTCTTGATGTATTAAAAAGTTACAAAATCCATTTATAGTATAAATATGATGCTTATTTCCTTCCTAGGGTTTTAAAGGTGCATGTTAATTTAATATTATGTTCTTCCAGAATTGATACACAGTTATCCATCATTAGAAAGTGCTCATCTAGTTATGAAGATGTCAAAACTACCCCATCCTCCAAAAGAAAAAGCATATCTTTGCCACTAGATGCTATTAGAAAATTCTTTAGCAGCTTGAAAGGCTAGTGGCTTAAAGTTTCCTTGTGTCTTTTTTTTTAACTTTGAAAATTTGCAAATAATTTTTTTTACAAATTTTTTTCCATTTTTTTATTGTGGTAAAGTAAAACATAAAATTTACTATCTTAACCATTTTTAAGTGCACAGTTTAGTAGTATTTAGTACATTCATATTGTGCAACCATTGCCACCATCCGTCTCCAGAACTCTTTTCATCTTGCTAAACTGAAACTCTGTACCCATTAAACAATAGTTCCCCATGGCCCCCTCCCCTCAGACCCAGGCAACAATCATTTTACTTTTTTTTTCTCCTTCACTTTTCCCCCATGCCCCAGCCTCTGGTAGCTACTATTCTACTCTCTGTTACTACGGGTCTGGCATTTTTTAATTTTAATTTTGTAGATTCCAGATGTAACTGAGATCATGCAATATTTGTCTTTCTGTGTCTGGCTTATTTCACTCAGCATAATGTTCTCCAGGTTCATACATATTGTCACAAATGACAGGATTTTCTTCTTTTTAAAGGCTCAATAATATTCCATTGTATATGTGTGTATAATATTGATATTTGTGCATATAATAGTAATATTTACATATCAGAATATATGAATAATATATACATATTTTCTTTATCTAGTCATCCATCAACATTTAGGTTGTTTCCATATCTTAACTATTGTGAATAATGCTGCAATGAACATGAGAGTACAGATATCTCTTCGAGATACTGATTTCATTTCCTTCGGCTATATATACCTAGAAGTGGAATTGCTGGATCATATAATAGTTCTATTTTAAATTTTTGATGAAACTCCATACTGTTTTCCATAATGGCTGTGCCAATTTATATTCCCACCATCAGTGTACAATGGTTCCCTTTTCTCCACATTCTCAACAACACTTGCCATCTTTTGACTTTTTTTTTTTTTTTTTTGGCTGCGTTGGGTCTTCGTTGCTGCACGCGGGCTTTCTTTAGTTGCGGCGAGCGGGGGCTACTCTCGGTTGCAGTGAGCAGGCTTCTCATTGCGGTGCCTCCTCTTTGTTGCGGAGCACAGGCTCTAGGTGCGTGGGCTTCAGTAGTTGTGGTGCACGGGCTTAGTTGCTCCGCGGCATGTGGGATCTTCCCGACCAGGGCTCGAACCCACGTCCCCTGCATTAGCAGGCGGATTCTTAACCACTGTACCAGGGAAGTCCCTCTTTTGACTTTTTGATAATAACAATCCCTAAAAGATATAAGGTGATATCTCGCTGTAGTTTTGATTTCCCCGGTGATTAGTGATGTTGAGCATCTTTTCATATACATGACTTCAGTTGGCCATTTGTATATCTTCTTTGGGAAAATGTCTATTCAGGTCCTTTTCCCATTTTTAAGTTGGTTTATTTGATGTTTTTTGCTATTGAGTTGTAAGAGTTCCTTTTGTATTTTGGATATCAATCCCCTATTGGATGTATGATTTGCAAATATTTTCTCCCATTCCATAGATTGCCCTCTCATTTTGTTATTTGTTTCCTTTGCTGTCCAGAAACATTTCAGTTTGATGTAGTCCCACTTGTTTATTTTTGCTTTTGTTGCCTGAGCTTTTGGTGCCAAATCCAAGAAATCATTGCTAAGACCAATGCCTAGGAGATTTCCCCCTGTTTTCTTCTAGGAGTTTTATGGTTTGCAGTCATACTTTTAAGTCTTTTATCCATTTAGACATTGATTTTGGTGTATGGTGTAAGATAAGAGTCCAATTTCATTCTTTTGCATGTCGATATCCAGTTTTCCCAACAGCATTTACTGAAAAGTCTATCCTTTACCCATTTTGTATTCTTGGTGCCTTTGTCAAAAATTAGTTGACCATGAAAGTGTGGGTTGATTTCTGGATGTTCTGTTCCATTGATTTATGTGTCTGTTTTTATGCCAGTACCAAACTGTTTTGATTAATGTAGCTTGGTAACATAGTTTAAAATCAGGAAATGTGATGCTTCCAGTTTTGTTCTTCTTGCTCAGGATTGCTTTAGCTATTTGGGGTCCTTCGTATTTCCATATGAATTTTAGGGTTTTTTTTTTTTTCTATTTCTGTGAAAAATGCCATTGGAATTTTTAGAGGGATTGCATTGAATCTGTAGATTGCTTTGGGTAATGGGGATATTTTAACAATATTAATTCTTCCAATCCACGAATACAAGATATCTTTCCATTTCTTTCTGTCTTCTTCAGTTTCTTTCAGAAATTATGGGGGGGGGGGTGGAATATGAGAAGTTGGGTAACAGAAAGTTGTTGAGAGCCCAGGAAGGGAGAGAACTTCAAGAATAAAATGCACAGTGCTAAGAGCCACCAGCATCTGTGCTGAAGACAAGCTACTGAGAGGTTAATTGCAACTTGAAAAAAATATTTTTTTCACTGGTGATATGACCCTAAGCCAACTGTAAACCCATTTGGAAGCAAGAGAGTGGTAACTATGATTTTGAAAAACTGATAGTGAAAGGAAGGAAAAAGAGGCAGTCAGAGGAGGTGGGGAGGTAGTGGGGTTGTGTGCCCTCATAACATGGTTCTGCTTCAGCACTTATGTTCTCCTTCACGGAACGTCTCTTTCCGACAAACCCAGCCTTTCACCACTGGAAATAGAAAAGAGTGAATTCATATAGGCAGCTCACCTCGTTGGCCTGAAAATTACTACTGGAAAAAAGAGAAAGAAATCCTTTACCTTCTAGAACCTTCAAAGGGATAATGTATTCAAGGTGGAAAAATATCTTTCTTTTAGGCAACGACTGAAGAAACTGAAACAAACAGTCAAGAAGATGAGAATGATGGTGAAAAAACAGAAAAAGGGAATACAGAAGTTGCCTCATCAGGTTTGTTTTTATAACAGACTAGTTTTAAGGTAAAGCGTGATAACTCTTAAGAGAATGAAAATAGAAAAGGTAGTGAATGAGGCTCTGTGACTGGTGTGGTTGTGCTGCCACCTAGTGACGTCCTGGGGGAAATTCTGACCAAGTGATTTATCTTGCTGTAAAAAAAAACAGGAACCCATGCTTTTTGCTACCTTACTTCGTTTTTTTTTTCTTTTTTGGTACGCGCACCTCTCACTGTTGTGGCCTCTCCCCGGACGCGCAGGCCCTGCGGCCATGGCTCACGGGTCCAGCCGCTCCGTGGTATGTGGGATCTTCCCGTATCGGGGCACGAACCCATGTCCCCTGCATCGGCAGGTGGATTCTCAACCACTGCGCCACCTGGGAAGCCCTCATTTTGTTGAAAGTTTATCTCCATCATCATAAGAGAGTTATATTTCCCCTAATCAATAATGCTAAAAACTGAGGGTTATATTTAACACACAGTAACAACAATAGATAAGACAGATTAAAAATATATCATAAAAATAGATGCTGAGGGCTTCCCTGGTGGCGCAGTGGTTGAGAGTCCGCCTGCCGATGCGGGGGACACGGGTTCGTGCCCCGGTCCGGGAAGATCCCACATGCCGCGGAGCGGCTGGGCCCGTGAGCCATGGCCACTGAGCCTGCGCGTCCGGAGCCTGTGCTCCGCAACGGGGAGGCCACAACAGTGAGAGACCTGCATACCGCAAAAAAAAAAAAAAAAAAAAAAAAAGATGCTGAAGTGGTAAACCCAATGAATAGTTTGAAAGAATAAAGTAATGCCACAAATATGAACAGTGAGTATGAATAGAAACCCACTCTTCCCTAAAGTAATATTTCTCGATATTTTAAACACATTTTTTCTTTTGATAAACATGAAAACCTCTCACCCTTTTCTAATACCAAGTTATTTTTAAATGGCATTGTAAAGTAAATTAAAAGTCATTACTAAAAATTTTAGTGTATACTTTTTCAAACTAGACTGTACCTCCACATTCTGATATGCCCCCTCAGGTGGTGACTTTTCCACCCACTTTAGACTGTATCAAATTCTTCTTTGTATACCCGAGAACACTTAATTTTCATTGCATTATATTGCTTTTAACCACACAATCCCTAACACATTCCAATTATGAAAACATGATGTTAAAAAGGAACATTGAAATACAAAAGGAAGAGTCAGGCTGCCCCTCATTTGGAAAGAAATTTGGATAGAAATTATCTATAAATGTTCACCTGTCCAACCCACCTCTCGTAATATTTCCTACCAGCATTTTGTTTCATGTAGTGTTATTCATATGTAAACTGGGACTCTTATTCAGAACTTAAGTTTTTCATAGTGGGGTTCTTTGATGTGTTTTATGTTGCTTTATTTTTTAATAATATCTTGAAAGAGCCTAGAGAATTCTAGTACCTGAAGCTCTTTTGTACCTCTCATCACACTGTAATCCAGCTCCGTGTTGCCCCGGGCAAGATATGTACTCAGTGTACTTCCTGGCATGGCAGGACCAATGAGCCTTTATATGGTTTTCATCTTGTTCTTTATGTTTCTGAATGTAACTCCATTTCAGAGCCACAGTGTTTTACATCAACTGTGACTCGATCCAGCCCGACCGTGGCCTTTGTGGGGCTCTCCTCCAGCCCCCAGGTGAAGAACGAGGTGCCAGAAGAGAAAGACCAGAAGAAACCGGAAAACGAAATGAGTGGAAAGGTGGAACTGGTGCTGTCACAAAAGGTGAGGTGGACTAAAGCCGTTAAGTCCACGATTCACGTGGCTTCGTGGTACTGCCGGCTGCCATGGTGGCACCGTTTTGTAATGAAGGTTTATTTTCTCTCCTGATCTTGTTTCCTACCTTTGATCTGTATTTTTTTTCTTAATACAAATATAATACATGTTCATTGTAAAAAAAAAAATGTAACTACCTATAGAAAGATGTCTGTGTTAGTCCACTTGGGCAGCTGTAACAGAAAACCATAGACTCGGTGGCTTATAAACAACAGAAATTTATTTCTGTCCGTTATGGCAGCTGGGAGGGGCGAGAGCAAGGCGCTGACAGTCAGCATCTGGTGAGAACCCGCTTCCTGACTCACAGACGGCTGTCTTCTTGCTGTGCCCTCACTTGGCAGAAGGGCCAAGGGTCCTGAGTCTCTTTTATACCATCACTAGTCCCATTCATGAGATCTTCACCCCCATGACCTAATCACCTCCCAGAAGGCCCAGCTCCCAATACCATTACCTTGGGGGTTAGGGTTTCAGCATATGAATTTTGGGGGGACACAAACATTCAGCCTATAGCTATTTATTTTTAATGTCTATTTACAGTGATATACATGGAAGTATGTAACAAATCTATCAAATAGTATGTGTAAGTATACATAAATATATAAATAAAAAACAGAAATAGAGCAAGAGAGAGAAAAAGTCACTGAAACCTACCTCTCTATTAATAATAAGTGGTATATATATTCTCTCAACATCTTTTAAAATTTATTTTAAATGGCTAATTTTTATAAAATTATTTTTATAAAAATTTTTATAAAAATTTTTATAAAATTTATATACATTTAAAAGAAAAATGTGGTATAGATATCTGTTATAAAGCTTTGCAGTTAGGTTTTAGTTTGCCGTGCATGAACTTGTTTATTTTTAACTTACTCCATATTCTCTTTCCAATATTTACCTGTTTTACAGTAATGGTACTTCTGATGCCTCTGAACTTGAATAACAAGGAAACCAGAAAATTATTATTCTGATATAATGGGTTTTAACATCTTGTTTTTATTAAATTTCTTCTTTGTTTGGAGTCTCATCTCTTTCATATTAATTTAGTTTGTTTTCAGGCACAGTCTAAAAGTCATCTTTTGTACCTCTTGTCCTCAACCTTGGTTACCCTTTAGAATTTAATAGATACCAGGTCATATAAATCTCAGTCTCTGGGAACAGGGCTCAGGCATCTGTATTTTCGAAAGGTCCCCAGGTGATTCTGATGGGTCACCAAGATAGAGTACAACTGACTTGCCTACTGGACACTTTATGTGGTGATATTCCAACTTTAAAAATTAAACCTAAATTTGGATTTGACTTTAGAGTGAAAATTTTACCACTTCTAGTTCTGGTTCATCTATCATCTACTCAGCCAATAGTGGTTGTGCACCTACTATGTGCCAAGCACTCTGCAGACACTGGATATTCAACAGTGAATAAGACACAGCCCCTGGCCTTAAGATGCTGAGAGTGCTGTATGCCTGGTGGAACCCAAAAATGCCTGCTTCCCTGATGCCTTTTGGGGATTTCAGACTCTAGCTACTCCCCCATTTTTATACATAGAGAATTAAAAAATGGTCTGGAGGTCTGAACAGAAGAACCTAACTGTAGGAAAAGCGTTGGGGGCAGACAGGATTTCCTGCCCTTGCAGGTTGTGCCTGACCCACATTACACTTGTAATCTATTTATTTCTTCTTCTTGCAAATTGACCTTTTTTCCTATGTAAATATAAAATGAAAGGAAAACTCATAACATTGCTAGAAAAAATATTTTTAAAATCAAACAAAATGGATACCATAACATAAAAAATATTCATCTGCATTCCTCATCTGTGTAACCTCATCTATGTGATCCATCTTTGGACCCCCAGTGTCATGGCTACCCTACTATGGAAAAAATTGTTTTCAGGGGTTCTTAACTTTGTGTGTATGTGTGTGTGTGCACACGCGTGTACGTGCACCATGGACCCTTTGTCTATCTGGTAAACATTATTCTCAGAATAATATTGTTTAAACCATAAAATATACAGCATTACCAAGTTTTCCTTGGTATCAAGTAGTACGAAATATGTATAACCACATGACTTCTTTTCTGTGGACTCCAGGTTAAGAATCTCTGCTAGATGATTAGCAAATGGAATTATGGTCTTTGAACCCAATGCTTTTCACACCATGTGAATTTCTCTTTTCTCCTTTCTCTACTTTACAGTTAATTTTTAGAGAAAGAAAGAAAGAAAGATGATGACAGTGGTTGCAACAGCTTTTATTTTCTGATTTCACTTGAGAGTGTTACCTTTATAAAACAAAGTACCAATGCACACAGGCTGACCTTTTACATAGTGGGTATTTTGAGCATTTCTGCTGAGATTAACTGTTTCATTTACAACCAGGCATTATCTGAAACATATTTTTGTCAATTCCACTATGGAGGAAATGGTATGAGCTTAAGATCTGAGGGTTGTCAACTTTGGTAAATCTAGGCCTTGGGTTTTGCTGCATGTTTTAACACTGAAGTTCATTAGGACATCTAGTTGACCTCTGTAATGCAGAACAATTAACTGTATTTTCTTCAAGATTCCGTTAGGGTTGAATATATTATTCATCAAGAAAAATAAAATCTTACTGAGGAGAAATTCTAGACATTAAATCATCCTGAGGACCAAATAAGAGATCAACTTATGATGAAACAAATGCTCTGGAGCCTCACTCGCCCACTGGCCATAAAATTAATCTTTTCATGGCCACCAGCCAGTGAATCAGAGAAGATTCTGTAAGCAGCTAAAAGGACATCGGAACTGATCCAGCCACACTCCTCATTCCGATCTCTGCTCAGAGTCTATTGACTCTTTATTTTGGTCTTTAGTTTGGTTATCTGGTCTTTCAGAAATCAGTTGATTAGAAGCAACAAATCGGAAGGAGGGTGTTCTACCAAAGGCCCTTCCGATTGGGGGGGAAACAAAATAAAATTAACTAGCAATAACAAGAAAAATCTGTTTTTACAAAGCAAACATAAGAATTTTTAAAGCCTGTAACTTTGGATCTATTTACCATAAGGTCATGTGGTCTAACATGCTTCAAAAATCCCTTAAGGGCATCATCGCTATGGCGCTGTTTGATATAATGGTTATTTACAATAATGCTTCTTTGTCAACAAGCACAGTATATTGTCTTTAATGTGCTTTGCGTAAATTTGTTGGGGGGAGTATGTAGTGTCTCAAGAATAATGCCCATTAGAAGGTAATATTACTTTAATATTTAATACTTACATAGTAAGATTTTTTTTAAATCTTATGTGGAACATCTCACTTCCTGACATTACAAATTCAGTATTATGTAGTACCAAGAAGAGAAACCGTGATTGATCCCAATAAGAACATGAAACAGAGTGAGGTATTATCTCAAATATGGAATATTGTCCTCTGAGTTTGAAGAAACATGATCATCAAATTTTTATGCTCTAGTTTGATTTCTCTGAAAAATTGACCTCTCTGTTAATGTAGAAAAGCATGAAGGGGTTTGGAGAAGGGGCAACATTTTCCATTTACAATTTAAATGTTTGGGCTTCTTGACTTATTGTAGCCATGGATCCTTAAATTTTATTTCACCTGTGCATTTAGTAATGGACAATACTTGTAATATGTATGTCTGTTGCCCATGATCCAGGTGGTAAAGCCAAAATCTCCAGAACCAGAAGCAACCCTGACGTTTCCATTTCTGGACAAAATGCCTGAAAGCAGCCAATTACCTTTGCCAAATCTCAGTTCTCAAGGTAAAAAGATAGAAGTGTTTTGTTTCAGTTCTACGTGTTCTGCTGGGCCCATCTGTAGTGAAATATTCTTCATTTTCAAGGCAGATCACTTCCTTTATGTTGATGTACCTTTAGCCGTTGGGTTTGCCAGAGTCCATGATGGCTGAATTAATCACTTCCGAGTGGAGGTCTGGAGCTACAGTCTCTGTTTGGCTTAGCCAGGAACCCCCGCTGCCAAGACCGTTTTGTCAGCCAGACACTGTAGGCACAATAGGGCCTATACCAGTATTTGATACCCAAAAATCACTTTTATTGGCTCTTAAATATTTTAAAAAATAAAAAATCAATAACTTTAATAAAGAGTTTATGATCTTAATATTATGTCAAGTTCATTAACTGTTAATTGTCTAGTCTTCCTAAGATATTCATTTACTTTGACAGTGATTTTGGAAGAAAGTCAGATTTTCTTGCCCCGTCATAGTTCCTGGCTGTGCGTGATGATTACCAAGAAACATTCACGATCATAGATTCAACGTGTTACTCAGAGCCAAAAACTTTAATCTTTCCAAAAATGCTTTACAGTTAGAATATATAGTTATATGGAACACATATATATATAGGCTGAGGATAAACCTTAATATATTTCATATGTTTGATATATTTTTTTTAACATCTTTATTGGAGTATAATTGCTTTACAATGGCGTGTTAGTTTCTGCTTTATAACAAAGTGAGTCAGCTATACATATACATATACATATATCCCCATATCTCCTCCTTCTTGCATCTCCCTCCCACCCTCCCTATCCCACTCCTCTAGGTGGTCACAGAGCACCAAGCTGATCTCCCTGTGCTATGCAGTTGCTTCCCACTAGCTATTTATTTTACACGTGGTAGTGTTTATATGTCCATGCCACTCTCTCACTTTGTCCCATGTTTGATACATTTTAACATGTTTGGTATAATTTAGGGAGGGATGGCCTCGAAAAATATGGGCGTTTAGGGCCTAGGAAGGTCTTAAAATGGCAATGGCCACTGCAAAGTCCCCAAGTGCCTTTAGGCCATGTATAGGTTGTGAATTCACCCCTTTATTCTTTAAGAGCCCAACCTGAATCCGTTTATCTTGGTTAGAACCCCAGGCACCCACAACCACCAGAAAGGAGCCTGAGGGATGTGAACAGTAGGGGGCTGGGTCCTGAGGATTCCGTGATCCATAGGGACTATGCTTCACAAGAGACAGACCACCGGGCTTTACTGGTGTGAGTTCTCTCTCTTTACTGATGTGATGTGAAAACGGCGAGAGTTCAGGAGGCAAGAACTATAAGGTTTCTTGTTTTTCTTTTTTAACGTGCTTTCCCCAGTACACTTTATAGATCTATCAGTCCAGGCAAAGAGAGGATGTACAGGGTCATTGTGGCTGGGGACTTGTTGCTTTTCTTTTCAAGGATGGGCAGCTCTGTGGCAGAATGCTACTTGGCTTCCATTAGTCTTTGTTGACGGCTGGGAGATAAGTTGGGCTCTATCTGCATAACAGGAGGTACTCGGGAGGGAATTAATTGGTACAGGTACTGATGATCACTAGCTTCTTAATGTGGAAACAAGTTCAATACTGTCTTCAAAGCATTTGATTTAAATTCGTCAGCCCTACTGTCCTGAAGGGAAGTGACAAAAGTAAACTCTCCTAACTGGGCCAGCAATTGGTCACATTTAGATTTTAATTCTGCCCTATTTCTAGCACTTTTTAATTGTGTATATAAGTAATATAGAGAGGAAATAGATATTTCAAGCCATATTAATTAGTTTTATTGTCTTCGATATTTTTACATCTAATTATCTGTTGTAAGACATTTCGACTTTGTAAAATGTGCTGTTGAATTAAGGGACTTTACTTCATGCTTTATCTAAGGTGAATGAAAAATAAAATTCAGTGGCACTAGAGCATTTCCAAAATCATTCTTCAAGATGGGATTATATTTGTCATATACCTATTCCATACTCTTGTCTGGCTCATGGAAACTGTAATTACAGCTGCAGGCTCTAGAGACAGAAGGCCTGGCTTCAAATTCTGGCTCTTCAAGTTCTAATCTGTATGATCTTACCCACCAAGTTCTCTCTAACCTCTGTCACCCGTAAACTGGAAATAATAACAGTACCAACCTCATAGGGTTGTTGGAAGAATTAAATGAGATAAACCAAAAAAAACAAAAAAACAAGGCATTTAGCTCAACACCTGACCTAGAATAAGCACTACAGTATAATCTAGTAGCTGCAGAATAGTTGCAGTAAGAGTAGAAGTATAGAGCAAGGTTCCAGGCAGGAATAAAGCATTCTTAAATGCTCTCCTTAAAATAGGAGTGTTTATATTGTAGAGACATAGCAGTAATTTTCGAACCTGAGATGTGGCAGGGTCTCCTGCAGGATTAATTAAAACACCGCTCTCTGGACCCCACCCGTACAGCATCTGATTGTGTAGGTCTGGGCTGGGGCCACAGTACTAACATTTCTAACAAGTTCCCAAAGGTGATGCTGGTGCTGCAGATCCAGGGACCACACTCTGGAAACCACTGGCTTGAAGCATGTGTTTAAATTGTGTACCAAAAACATCACTGGTAGATGTAAAAATAACATTAATACTTGTTTGGAGTGTCTAAAGTTCCTATCTTTCAAGTAGCAAAAGGCCTCTAATAAATGTAGTCTTAAAAGACATGATTTGTCTTTAATTGGGGGTTGGCGGGGGGTATAGGGCTTTGCCCAGCTATAAAAAGTCAGCATAGGGGCTTCCCTGGTGGCGCAGTGGTTGGGAGTCCGCCTGCCGATGCAGGGGACACGGTTCGTGCCCCTGTCTGGGAAGATCCCACACGCCGCGGAGCAGCTGGGCCCGTGAGCCATGGCCGCTGAGCCTGCGCGTCCGGAGCCTGTGCTCCACAACGGGAGAGACCGCAACAGTGAGAGGCCCGCGTACCGCAAAAAAAAAAAAAAGTCAGCATACATTTAAATGACTAGTCAGAGGCTGCACATCAAGTCCAAAGAAGCTGTAGGGTCAGGATCAGGAATCCTGGGGCCATACCTAACATTCTCTCCCCAGGACAGTGATGATGCCACCATCTCCACCAAGTGGTCTGTTTCTCGACTGCTCAGACAGGCTACTGCAGATGTGTGGGGGCCCTAGTGATGCTCCACAGATTTCCCTTGAACATACCCATGTGCATAAATAGCCTTTAAATACTCTGAAAACATTCATAAAATAACATTTAAAGAGGACAGATTTCCTTTTCTCAACTGTCTCCCAATAGTAGAAAGATATCTTGAATTGATGTTTCAGGAAAATATGTGCACATTTTAAAACCCACTGTCTTTATTTGCATTGAGAACGATGACAGATGAGCATAGCATCTAGGTTAAGGATGCAAATGCTTGCCTTCAGCTACTGTCTGCCTGATGCCACCCCATGACAGATACACACGTACACATCTTTTTACTACACACGTATATAACTGCCACCACAGACTTCCATAATAACATTTATAAAGTGTGTAAGAATAATTGAACTCATCTCTGCTGTCTTTTATACTTTTCTAGTGCTTTCCAAAAGCAACGTAAACTGTGCACTTTGCCCTTACATCACACATCATCCCATCATTTTGAGATTCAGCATCTTAACAATATCACCTTTAAGTATGAGCTCCTAAACTCCCACCCAACACCAAACAATAGCGTAAACTGGCCCATCTATGGACTTTTGTCCACATCTTCGGGTTTTGTGTGCATTTTATTGAGGTATTTTGTACTTTGGATACTTTCACTCTCAATCCTTGTTCTGATGACAGCCAAACCTCCGTTAGTACTTGGGAGTGTGGTTCTATTCAAGTCTCAGCCCTGTTTTCATGGTTTTTCTATTTGTTCTGTTCTGCCATCTGATCTAGAGTCGCCTGGCACTGCCAGCGTTCTGCTGAGAGTTCAGAACTCTTGGCGACGTTCCCAGTTTTTCTCCCAGTCAGGTAAAATGCATACTGGGGAGCTCTATTTCTTTTTTGCAAAATCCATGTTGTGGGCAACCAATTATATCTGGTACTTTTCTTCATTTCTGATTCCAGGGGCACACAGTTAGCAAAGAGCTGGTTCATTGATATCAGTACCAGTTATCAGTACTAAAATTGGGGGAAATTCGCAGAATTTTACTTTGATTTTGAAATTCCAAAGAAATAATATTCACCTCTTTCTTTATGGCCTTCTTCTTTTTTTTTAAACAAAGATTAGAAGCATTTACCTGGAACTGGTAACGGTCCTCTTGTTAACTGTGTCACCTTCTCTGCTTCCTGGATGACATCTGGCCTCTCTCTGTGTGATCCTTCTCTGTGTCAGACAGTGAGGGAACTGGTCAGTCAAGCCAGAGTGCAAGGTGCCTTAAAATGAGCACTCATAGGAATAGATTTCGCTTCCTGTAATGTAGTACCTGGTGCTAATTGATGTGATCAATCATATTACACTGGTCATAACTTCTCTTGGTGATGGGTACAAGCTGCTTCAGGGGTCTGCTTTATCATGATTTTCTAATGCTCTTGGCTAACCAAAAAAAGTTGGTTTGAAGCTGACATAGGAACCACACTCCACTGAGACGATCAAAAAAGAAAGACAATTAGAAGCTACTCACATTGTGATCTTTTTTCCTTTCTTTCTGTACAGTGGATTCTCCAAGCAGTGAAAAGTCACCTGTAACTACGCCTGTAAGTAATTCCTACTGAGGAATAAGATCATGCATTTAGTGTGATTTTAATTTATAAGGTATTTGATTCACTTAAAGGGGATTCAATCAAAAACGGTCTCCAAACTTTTGATTGTAAAAGAATATTTTTGTCGGATATAATGCTGTCAGTTGAATCATAGAGAAAGAGACGGATTATCATTTTGCACAGTTGTTATCACGCCTGGAAGCAAAATGGTGAGTCAGGAAAGTAAAATCTAAAAGAAACAACCAAAATGAATGTGACATAAGGAATTAGTAATAAAATATGCAACTTCCGTAGGCATTCAAAATCAGCTTTTTAAATGAAGGCAATACTTTAACACAGTGTATCATCGGCAGACAGGGCCCAGCCTGGACTTTCTCTGGGAGACCCATGCTGTCTGGGTCATATTCCTGCTCACAATCAGTATCTTGAATAATATACATTTTTTAACATCTTTATTGGAGTATAACTGCTTTACAATGGTGTGTTAGTTTCTGCTGTATAACAAGGTGAATCAGCTATACGTATACACATATCCCCATATCTCTTCCCTCTTGCATCTCCCTCCATCCTCCCTATCCCACCCCTCTAGGTGGACACAAAGCACCGAGCTGATCTCCCTGTGCTGTGCAGCTGCTTCCCACTAGCTATCTATTTTACATTTGGTAGTGTATATATGTCCATGCCACTCTCTCACTTCGTCCCAGCTTACCCTTCCCCCTTCCCATGTCCTCAAGTCCATTCTCTACATCTGCGTCTTTATTCCTGTCCTGCCCCTAGGTTCTTCAGAACCATTTTGTTTTTTAGATCCATATATATGTGTTAGCATACGGTATTTGTTTTTCTCTTTCTGACTTACCTCACTCTGTATGACAGACTCTAGGTCCATCCACCTCACTACAAATAACTCAATTTCGTTTCTTTTTATGGCTGAGTAATATTCCATTGTATCTATGTGCCACATCTTCTTTATCCATTCATCTGTCAGTGGACACTTAGGTTGCTTCCATGTCCTGGTTATTGTAAATAGAGCTGCAATGAACATTGTGGTACATGACTCTTTTTTTTTTTTTTTTTTTAACATCTTTATTGGGGTATAATTGCTTTACAATGGTGTGTTAGTTTCTGCTTTATAACAAAGTGAATCAGTCATACATAAACATATGTTCCCATATGTCTTCCCTGTTGCGTCTCCCTCCCTCCCACCCTCCCCATCCCACCCCTCCAGGCTGTCACAAAGCACCGAGCCAATATCCCTGTGCCATGCGGCTACTTCCCACTAGCTATCTACCTTACTGCGTTTGTTAGTGTGTATATGCCCATGACTCTCTCTCGCCCTGTCACAGCTCACCCTTCCCCCTCCCCATAACCTCAAGTCCGTTCTCTAAGAGGTCTGCGTCTTTATTCCTGCTTTACCCCTAGGTTCTTCATGACATTTTTTTCTTAAATTCCATATATATGTGTTAGCATACGGTATTTGTCTTTTTCTTTCTGACTTACTTCACTCTGTATGACAGACTCTAGGTCTATCCACCTCATTACAAATAGCTCAATTTCGTTTCTTTTTATGGCTGAGTAATATTCCATTGTATATATGTGCCACATCTTCTTTATCCATTCATCCGATGACGGGCACTTAGGTTGTTTCCATCTCCGGGCTATTGTAAATAGAGCTGCAATGAACATTTTGGTACATGACTCTTTTTGAATTATGGTTTTCTCAGGGTATATGCCCAGTTAGTGGGATTGCTGGGTCGTATGGTAGTTCTATTTTTAGTTTTTTGAGGAACCTCCATACAGTTCTCTTTAGTGGCTGTATCAATTTACATTCCCATTCCCACCAACAGTGCAAGAGGGTTTCCTTTTCTCCACACCCTCTCCAGCATTTATTGTTTGTAGATTTTTTGATGATGGCCATTCTGACTGGTGTGAGATGATACCTCATTGTAGTTTTGATTTGCATTTCTCTAATGATTAGTGATGTTAAGCATCCTTTCATGTGTTTGTTGGCAATCTGTATATCTTCTTTGGAGAAATGTCTTCTGCCCATTTTTTAATTGAGTTGTTTGTTTTTTTGACATTGAGCTGCATAAGCTGCTTGTATATTTTGGAGATTAATTCTTTGTCAGTTGGTTCGTTTGCAAATATTTTCTCCCATTCTGAGGGTTGTCTTTTCGTCTTGTTTATGGTTTCCTTTGCTGTGCAAAAGCTTTTAAGTTTCATTAGGTCCCACTTGTTTATTTTTGGTTTTATTTCCATTTCTCTAGGAGGTGGGTCAAAAAGGATCTTGCTATGATTTATGTCATGGAGTGTTCTGCCTATGTTTTCCTCTAAGAGTTTTATAGTCTCTGACCTTACATTTAGGTCCTTAATCCATTTTGAGTTTATTTATGTGTATGGTGTTAGGGAGTGTTCTAATTTCATTCTTTTACATGTAGCTGTCCAGTTTTCCCAGCACCACTTATTGAAGAGGCTGTCTTTCCTCCCTTGTATAGTCTTGCCTCCTTTATCAAAGATAAGGTGACCATATGTGCATGGGTTTATCTCTGGGCTTTCTATCCTGTTCCATTGATCTATATTTCTGTTTTTGTGCCAGTACCATACTGTCTTGATTACTGTAGCTTTGTAGTATAGTCTGAAGTCAGGGAGCCTGATTCCTCCAGCTCCGTTTTTCTTTCTCAAGATTGCTTTGGCTATTCGGGGTCTTTTGTGTTTCCATACGGATTGTGCAATTTTTTGTTCTAGTTCTGTGAAAAATGCCATTGGTAGTTTGATAGGGATTGCACTGAATCTGTAGATTGCTTTGGGTAGGATAGTCATTTTCACAATGTTGATTCTTCCAATCCAAGAACATGGTATATCTCTCCATCTGTTTGTAACATCTTTAATTTCTTTCATCAGTGTCTTATAGTTTTCTGCATACAGGTCTTTTGTCTCCTTAGGTAGGTTTATTCCTAGGTATTTTATTCTTTTTGTTGCAGTGGTAAATGGGAGTGTTTCCTTAATTTCTCTTTCAGATTTTTCATCATTAGTGTATAGGAATGCAAGAGATTTCTGTGCATTAATTTTGTATCCTGCTACTTTACCAAATTCATTGATTAGCTCTAGTAGTTTTCTGGTAGCATCTTTAGGATTCTCTATGTATAGTATCATGTCATCTGCAAACAGTGACAGCTTTACTTCTTCTTTTGCAATTTGGATTCCTTTTATTTCTTTTTCTTCTCTGATTGCTGTGGCTAAAACTTCCAAAACTATGTTGAAAAATAGTGGTGAGAGTGGACAACCTTGTCTTGTTCCTGATCTTAGTGGAAATGGTTTCAGTTTTTCACCATTGAGAACAATGTTGGCTGTGGGTTTGTCATATATAGCCTTTATTATGTTGAGGTAAGTTCCCTCTATGTCTACTTTCTCGAGGGTTTTTTATCATATATGGGTGTTGAATTTTCTCAAAAGCTTTTTCTGCATCTATTGAGATGATCATGTGGTTTTTCTCCTTCAGTTTGTTAATATGGTTTATCACACTGATTGATTTGCATGTATTGAAGAAACCTTGCATTCCTGGGATAAACCCCACTTGATCATGGTGTATGATCCTTTTCATGTGCTGTTGGATTCTGTTTGCTAGTATTTTGTTGAGGATTTTTGCATCTCTGTTCATCAATGATATTGGCCTGTAGTTTTCTTTGTTTGTGGCATCTTTGTCTGGTTTTTGGTATCAGGGTGATGGTGGCCTTGTAGAATGAGTTTGGGAGTGTTCCTCCCTCTGCTATATTTTGGAAGAGTTTGAGAGGATGGGTGTTAGCTCTTCTTTACATGTTTGATAGAATTCGCCTCTGAAGCCATCTGGTCCTGGGCTTTTGTTTGTTGGAAGATTTTTAATCACAGTCTCAATTTCAGTCCTTGTGATTGGTCTATTTATATTTTCTGTTTCTTCCTGGTTCAGTCTCAGAATGTTGTGCTTTTCTAAGAATTTGTCCATTTCTTCCAGGTTGTCCATTTTACTGGCATATAGTTGCTTGTAGTAATCTCTCATGATCCTTTGTATTTCTGCAGTGTCAGTTGTTACTTCTCCTTTTTCATTTCTAATTCTATTGATTTGAGTCTTCTCCCTTTTTTTCTTGAGGAGTCTGGCTAATGGTTTATCAATTTTGTTTATCTTCTCAAAGAACCAGCTTTTAGTTTTATTCATCTTTGCTATCATTTCCTTCATTTCTTTTTCATTTATTTGTGATCTGATCTTTATGATTTCTTTCCTTCTGCTAACTTTGAGGTTTTTTGTTCTTCTTTCTCTAATTGCTTTAGGTGTAAGGTTAGGTCATTTATTTGAGATGTTCTTGTTTCTTGAGGTAGGATTGTATTGCTATAAACTTCCCTCTTAGAACTGCTTTTGCTGCATGCCATAGGTTTTGGGTCATTGTGTTTTCATTGTAATTTGTTTCTAGGTTTTGTTTTTTTTTGCGGTACATGGGCCTCTCACTGTTGTGGCCTCTCCCGTTGTGGAGCACAGGCTCCGGACATGGCTTATGGGCTCATGGGCCTAGCCGCTCCGCGGCAGGTGGGATCTTCCCAGACCGGGGCACGAACCAGTGTCCCCTGCATCAGCAGGCAGACTCTCAACCACTGCGCCACCAGGGAAGCCCTCTAGGTATTTTTTTATTTCCTCTTTGATTTCTTCAGTGGTCTCTTGGTTATTGAATAGTCTATTGTTTCGCCTCCATGTGCTTGTGTTTTTTACAGATTTTTTCCTGTAATTGATATCTAGTCTCATAGCATTGTGGTCGGAAAAGATACTTGATATGATTTCAATTTTCTTAAATTTACAAAGGCTTGATTTGTGACCCAAGATATGATCTATCCTGGAAAATATTCCATGAACACTTGAGAAGAAAGTGTAATATCCTGTTTTTGGATGGAATGTCCTATAAATATCAATTAAGTCCATCTTGTTTAATGTATCATTTAAAGCTTGTGTTTCCTTATTTATTTTCATTTTGGAT